TATTTGATTTATTAAGATAGAGTGTAATTATAACATTAATGATGAATAAAAATAAACATAGTATCGTGCGTAGGAGTTATCTTTATTAGGATATTAAAAAAAATATTTTTTAATATGATTGAGATATCTAACAAGATATGGTCTCCTACCGAATTTACCATATCATTCTTCTCTGTTTTCTCAGCTTTAAGATTTTTCGATGGTAGCATTTGCACGACAGGTACTGTTGGTGTAGCAAGCGTGATTGGTGCGAGAGGTGCAGACACTATAGGCGGTGCAACGCCTACAGGCAGTACCCTCTCAGGTACTTTCATGAAAGGTAATTCTTTGTTTGGCTTAAACATTTTCGTAAGCTTATTATCCACCTTCTCTTTATCCGCCTTCTCATTTTCGGCTAGAATCGACGGAGGCGTTAACTCGGCCGGCGGAGGAATCAGTGGCTTCTCACGTTCTACAGGTTTAATTTTGGACAATGGAAAATCTTCGGGCTTTATGGGTGGATTGGAAAAACGCGGCGGTAATGGTAAATTGGGCATGGCGGGATGAGGACCCGGTCCACCTCGTCCGAGTGGCATTGAAAATCGCGGAAACATCGGAGGAATTAAACCAGGTGCCGAAGGAAATGGTGGGAAAAAGGGGAACGGAAGTGTGATCGGAAGAATAGGCTGTATTGGTTCGGGTGCCTGCGGTGTCTTGGGCCGATCCGGTATATCCAATTCTGTCGCATCATTCGAGGGTTTCGTCTGAAAAACAACAAATCACCAGCAAGATATATTAATGAAAATTGGAAACATATTAAAAGACTGTAGCATTTAATTAAATTATTGCTGGAAATAAAATTGACTTTACGATCGATAAAAAAAATTATAAAATTTGTATACCCAACGTTTTTTATTCCATATACATATTCCTAAGTAATGTTCTACAAAATGTATTTTACCTTTTTCGGACTGATACATTGTTTCGGATTCTTCAATTTAGGTTCTTTCTTTTTGCTACTCTTCTCTTTCTTTTTCCGCTTCTGTTCCGGTACCGTGGGTACATTCAATTCGGGAGTTTTTGGCGTACTAGGCGTACCCGGCGGTGAAATGTCAGCATCATCAAATATGTAAACATCCGAGGATAAACTCTGCACATCTGCCAAATCACTGTCCGATTGTATATGCACGTCTGGTGTATGAGGTGTCTTTTTTTCTTCGCGTCCTCCTTTCGGCTCCGCGTCGTTTCGGTGTACGTGCTTCTCCGCATTCTCGACATCTATAATCAACTCTGGCGAATTCTCACGCGAATCCAAAATATCCTTGTACTTGTGCGGCTCCGTTATCTCTTTATCTTTTTCTTCACGCGGTTTTGATATCTTCTTGAAGATATTTAGTTTCTGTTTATCCGGTTCCGACGGCAACTTGTCAACAGTTTCCTCTTTCTTTTCAACAGCAGGAGAGATGTCTATTGGTTCTGCTACCTTTTCGGTCTTGATCTTTGGTTGCGTTGTCTTCGATGCTTTCGGACTACTTGTTGCTAATTTCGGTGACGCGATCTTCGGCGTAGGTGGCCTGCTACCACCCGTAAGTTCTTGTAACGTGGTAGATTGTCCCTTGCCACCGCCTGGCTTTAACGGCTTTAATTTGGCCAGTTCTTTCATGCCGACTAATTTCTTCACTTTGCTCTCGTCGATCTTGTCCGGCTTGAACAGTTCCTTCGCGCCTTTCTTCTTCTTGTTCTCTTTATCAAGCTTACGGTTCTCGGGAGCTTTCTTCACAACTTTCTTCGGTTTCTTATCAATTTTCAATTCGGGCGGTACCATCGGATAAGAGCTTGGTTGCGGTGAATCTGATCGAACTTGATGCGGTGTTCTCGCTTCGGGTAGCTTTCCTTCTCGCGCGGGTGATAAAAAACCAGAAGTAGTCATCATAACACTGCTTATCTCACGTAATGGTCTACCTTCCTCTAAAACTTTCGCACGCTTTACCATGGGACTTTCAAAAGACACTGGATCACCTGGCCGTTTGAAAACCACCTGCGGCGACATCCTATGAGGTGACGCATTATTTGAATTGCTTGATGATGTTCCACTGCTAGATGTCAGATCTGCTGTACCATTCATTAAACTTTCATTCTTATCAGGTATGTATTCCTCTGCAATTATTATAAATTACCAATAAAATGTAAATTAATATAAATTAGCATAATTTATTGCTAAAATTACTAAATAAAAACAATATAATTTATTACCTTCGGTATCTGGATACATAGCTGGTAAATGTTCATGTACGTGCACTGGTCTCGTGACAACTTCACGACTACCCGGCTTCAAAAAATTTAAATGATTTTCACGTCGAATTGGATATTGTGGTACTTGTATAGGACATTGAACAGAATCTACATTTTTCACATATTCGGCTAATTCCTGTATATCAATATTCATATATTGAAATGTTAGTCCTAAGTCATCAAGATTCGGCTCTGTTCTTCCCACTATAAAAATATAAAAATATAAATTTAAGATTTGCGGGGGTACTTAAATTACTCAACAAGTAATTTACTTTTATAATAATTATACACATTTAGATGTCGATATTTACAAGAAATCTTAAAAATGTAGATTTTAAATAATAGTATCCAAAATATATTCAAATTTAAACTCTTATACAAAATATATAAAATATATAGAAAAAAGACGAATTCTGATAATACATATAAGTCTCCACAGAATTGACCAATCACAATTGGATATTCCTATATTACAGTTGAATAAGAGGGGAACATTTAACTGTTATTAATAAAAATTAATATAACGGTTACTCACAAACTTCTGCATATTGATGTGTGAGCTTTGAGGTACGTAACAGATATTCCTGCAAAAGATCTACTAGAAACTCCAATGGTGTAGAATTAATAGAATGCCACCCTATTGTCTGACAGATCTGCGCAACTACTATTTTTAAAACGTTTCGACTATATTCGGCTGACATTTTTATCTGAAAATCAATATTGATATATGAATATTTTGCTGCAGAGAACGTTTTAATCTATTGCCTTACAATTACACTTGTGTCAGACATTGTAGTTCAGACATAACAATTATACTCATGGTAAAACAAACTACAATAGAAAATAAACCCCGTTTATTTGTTTTTCACTTATATGAATAGGTTTATGTAAGTTCCAGTTTTCTAAACATTTGTTCCTATTATTAGTTCCTATTATCGGAACTAATCAGTACTGGATAATAAAAAAAGATAAATGAATCTCTACTTTAGATATTAGAGAATATTTAAACTACTTGATTATCAAAACTGTCTTATCCCATGAGAAATTCGAATAAACAAAGTTTTATTGCATATTTGTAGTGATATTGGTGTACAATGCATATCAATTCAGAACATTTTTTTAAAAAACCAAAAAATTTTTTGTTTTTATCATAATAGAATATTTTCAGGGCCACAAGATTCTTAGACCCAGTTCCACAACTCACGGTTAACTCTTAAGCAAAGTTCAATTTGTTTCTCATCTCTTTCCAATTCAAGAATTAGAAAGAGACAATGAATAAGTTGAACTTTGGTTAAGAGTTAACCATGAGTTGTAGAACTGGACCTAAATGTCATATCCAGGAATTAAGTTCAGATCTTTTGTTCAACAAGTAATTACTTTAATACTGAGCTATATTCAGTATCTTTTATATATATATTGTGTCACATATCAGAGCCAAATTAATCATAATGACAGAACATTTATCTTAATAATTCAACTAATAACTACTATCCATGGTCATAAAAGAGATTCTAAAGCAATAAAGTTATGAATAATGCATTACTTTTATATGTTAATTCAATATGCTAATAACGTAGTAATTAATTTATAAAACAGAGTAAAATCAAAGCAATACATATATGATATTTAGAGTACATTCCAAAACGTTATCTATTGAAAAAAATTTTGTTTGAAATATGTAATAGATGTAACATATTATAGTATACACTATACAAAGTAAAATCTTCCTTAGAAAGCACGTTTTGGAATGTAACTTTAGATAGAATCGACATATACCTAATAATTATCGAAAAAAATGTTGGTGACGCATAAAAAATTGTACCGTTACCACCAATAGTTATCACTATCTCGTGCGCAAAGTGCTGGCCGGAACGACCATGACGATGCAAAGGTCTCGTATATTGTAAATATAAAGTTTCACCGGCGACAGATACACGCCGTTGCAGATTCGGAGGCAAACGATCTCCAGATATTTTAATTCGCCACAGGCTCAAAGGAAAATCGGACTGTGATAGAAGACAAGTGTCGTTCTCTCACCTAGATATGGATGCGATAGATCTAGCCTTTTCAACCGAACGTCACATAGTTGACACATTCAACATGGACTTCGCTTGACTTTCAGAATTTACAAGAAAATGCTCTTTTTTTGTAAAACGCGTGTCGCAAGAGTCCTAGAGTCACGCCAAGTCACGCTACTACGACCGCCATTCCCACAACCCATATTCTGCCCGCACTGCTCGCAGACGCAGTGCCCTTCTATCACTTTCTATCCCCTTTACAATCTCTCCCTCTTCCAACTTCCAAGCAGTGTTGTTAGGTATGCCGCCTTTTTGGCGCATGCGTACTACAGTACTAGTGACTTTTAGAAAAATCCAGTAATGTGAAGGCCCGTCTACAATACACGGAGTAAGAAGTAAGAGTAAGAAATTGACCAATCACAGTCGAATGTGAGAAGAATAATCGACTGTGATTGGTTAATTTCTTACTCTTACTTCTTACTCCGTGTATTGTAGACGGGCCTTGACACCGAACGTTGATTGGTGAAAAACAGGTGATGGGGGTAAATTTTACCCCTACAAGCGGCTTTTCATCAATCAGAGCTCTGTGTCAAAGCGCTGTTGCCCGTGTGAGGATCCGGGCTTACTCCGTGTATTGTAGACGGGCCTTTACGCGTCGCCGTTGCCGTGACGACGTCGCCGGATGTTGGTATGTTCATTTACGTAAGTCTCGGGGCCCGGCGTTTCCTGTCTCCGGAGTGACGGAGTCCGGCCTTTGCTGGCTTCGCCATATTATTGTCGTGTCTGCGAAGATACGCATCTACAAGCTCGTGAAGAAGCATCGTGGCCTTTATACGACACAAATCCACCATTTGATTTTCATCGGCGATGAGCGATATCGAGGTGAGTATGTAAAAATGTTATATATCTTTGCATAACTCTCACGTAAGTTGTGATGAGGTAACGCAATTCGGCATAGCCGAGTTATCGATCCAGCGACGCAGTTCTACTTCCAGCCATTATTCATCGCCACGCAACGTACGCAATAACTCGGCACACTCCTTTCGCTTCTATTAATTGCGAAATATCTTTTGAAGTAAAGTAAAAGAAAACAAAAAGGAATTCCCGATTGTACATTTTCTCCAACGATTGTAATCTCGACAAAGGAGCTTTATAAGGTTATAAACGTGAAAAGCCGAATCGTGATTGGTCGATCACGTTCACATGTTTATTAAAAAATATTGTTATCGTTGATAGCGGTCGTTATAAAGAAAATTGAATTGTGATATGATGTAATATCGCTCATTTACTACATTATAACAAAAAAATTGTTATCTTGTAGTTGCTAAAAAAAATATATTTCTTTACACAATCAGCTATTATATCAAAATTACATTTTAAAACTATTATTACACAATTTTAATGATAATTAAAGTTTACTTTCTTGTTTTTTTAGCCATGCGTAGTGTTTTATATATATATATATATATATATATATATATACATACATATACATATATATGTGTATACCTGGCTAAATTTATATATGTAAATATATGTATTATGATGTTTTCAAGAAAGGCTTTATTTAATCTAAAATTCAATCTACAAGATAAGAAAGTTTAGTCCTTATTGTCATATTTTGGAGAGTTAGAAGTTGTCTTTTTTGAACTAAATTATATTGTTATTGAAGAACTTAATTCCATCCTTGGAATCATCGAATGTTCCAACGTTTTCTATCCACACATTTATTTTAAGTTTTAATTTCATTTAAATATATTTAATTCAACATTTTTAAAAATATACAAAATATAAAAACATTTAATATTTTTAATTTAACATTTAATCTTTTTATATTATTTAAGTACAATATATTCTTATAGTTGCTTGTAATTCCAGTAGTCATGGTGCATCTTTTGTATACAAAAAAATTTTAATTAATACAATGTATTATAATTCAATGAAATATTATGTAATTTTTTTTATTTTTTCTGTGTATGAAAGATGCTCCACGTGGAATGTATTCACATGCTTACTGAAACTATAAGCAATTATAGGAGTGTATATTGTATTCAAATAATATAAAAAACAAATCCAAGGATAGATGTAAATCAGCCAATGAGAGCCAACACAGGTTAAGCGTATGTGAAATCATATACTTTATTCTTGAGAAAAATTGACAAACGTTTCAACCCTTTCGATTGGATCTTCCTCAGTGTAAAAATAAAATCTGTGACGTATAAATTCAAAATAAAAGATGCGATGCGAAGCAATTTGAAGTATCATTAATGTATTCATAAAATGATAATAATGCTGTCTGTCGTATCTAAGGGCCTGAGCATAATGGAGGAACAGGAATTAGATATTAAGATTTCAACCTATCAGAAACTGATTATATACATGGTCTGATAGGTTGAAATCTTAATATCTAATTCTTGTTTCTCTATTGTGCACAGACCCTAACAAAATACTAATGGACCTTCTACAATAAGCCATTAGTCATAAATCAGAAGTCAGAAGCTAAAAATTGACCAATCACAGTCGTCAATTTTTAGCTTCTGACTTTTGATTTATGACTAATGGCTTATTGTAGAAGGCTTATATCAATTTAGATCATCTGTAATTTAATAAATTCGATCCGATTTTATTTTTGCACTGAGAAAGACCCAATCGAAAGAGTTGAAACATTTGTCAATTTTTCTCAAGAATAAAGTATACGATTTCACACACGCTTAACCTATGTTGGCCTGCATTGGCTGATTTACATTTATCCTTGGATTTATTGTTTGGAGCCTATACCAAGATTGATAGTTATTAAAAAATAAATATTAAATTAACTAATGAATGTTTCTATAATGTATATTTTTTAAATGTTAAATTAAATACATTTAAATAAAATTCAAATTAAAAATAAATATGTGCATAGAAAATGCCAGAACGTTCGATGTTTCCAAAGACAGAATCGAGTTTTTTTGTTATAAGAAAAAATAAAAGAGAAGGTATTAAAGAATGTATTTCGATGCCTAAGTCATAGAAGATGCTATATCGAGAAGAAAGGTTAGGTCAAGAAATGAATGAAAAGCGGTCTATTTCGCATAAGGCGTGAAGATCGGTCTATGTCGGAACGTATACAAAGTGTGGTTTATATCGAGAAAATGAGAAGATTGATTCAATTAATGAATGCAGAAATATTGTAAAGATATATTTATATTTTATGTTTTTAATATTTAATTTCTCAAACTATTAAGAAAAATTTTTCAATTAAATTTTTTTTCATTTAAATTTTTATGTAATGATAATTCAATTTTCGGATCTCTGTATATCTATACGATACAATTTATAGTAATGGTTGTTTGTAATTTACAGAGAAGTGGTAGTCGTAGTGCAAGTCCGCGCCGACCACGAACTGCAGACGGTGGTTTAAGGGATTCACGATCACACTCGAGATCGCGTAAATCGCGCGAGCGGAAGGACAGAGAGGTCAAATATTCAAGGTCCCGTAGTCGCTCTGCATCACGTGGACGGAAGTCATATCGCGGCAGCAAGTACACCAGTGTTGGTCATCGTAGCAGCCGCAGTCGGAGTCGCTCACCATACCGCGGTGGTCGTTACTCTCGCAGTAGATCTCGCTCATACTCACGATCGCGATACTCTCGCGATAGACACGTGTACCGTTCACACTCGCGCAGCCCAATGTCATCTAGACGACGACATATCGGCAATCGAGACAATCCTTGTCCTTCCCGGTGCCTAGGTGTTTTTGGACTCTCCATTTTTACTACTGAACAGCAAATTCAACATATATTCTCAAAGTATGGTCCAGTAGAACGAGTACAGGTCGTTATCGATGCAAAGGTATGTAAAATGGATGTATATTTATTTATATACATATTAACACGTTTCGTACGACGCCAATGTTGAGTGATTTAATCACCATGCTACGTAAGTCACCGATGACTTACGATATTTTTGTTTGCGTGTGTTTGTTATATTTATTAAATAACATGTATTTGGTAATACACATTAAAAAAATTACAAAGATTATAAAGTAGAAGGTCTGATGTACCAATATTGTAACATATAATTATGTATTATGTATGATATAAAAAATTATAATCATGTTCCTTTTTATAGCCAAATTATCAAACGGCTTTTGATAACTGAATGGAAAATTTAATGTGACTTGCGCAGCACAGAATATATTTAAGGTCTGTTCTTTATCAGTTTGTTGAACTGCACTAAAACTTTCTTTTCCACTTTTTGCTAAATACTTCAATATGTATTTATTTTAAGCACAATAGACACATATTAGTTATAAAGAACAGACTTTAATGCAACAGTTTGTTATTTCCCATAAGTATTTATACTGGGGAACAGTAAAATCATGCCAGAGATTTAGAACGTTCATACTTAAGAGACACATGATACGTTAAAGGCTTCTGGCCACACAATTACATTTAGACACAGGTCTATATGCGAATTAGAAAACAGTAGTGAATTAAAAATCAATTTAGTAATAGCGCGATTTAATGGTGACACTATGATATCACATCTATGTCATTTATTACAGACTGGACGTTCTAGAGGATTCTGCTTTGTATATTTTGACACCTCCGAGGATGCTAAAGTGGCTAAAGAGCAATGTACCGGTATGGAAATCGACGGGAGGCGTATTCGCGTAGACTTCTCTATCACACAACGTGCCCACACCCCCACTCCAGGAATATACATGGGAAAACCTACACATCTGCACGATAGAAGCTGGGACGCACCGAGGCGTAGAGAGTAAGTCTTGTTTACTTCTGGAATAACACACATGTATCTCAAAAATATAATTGACAAGTATTGCATATTGTTATTTTTTGTTTTTTTTTTTTTAATATGGGAACAATAGGGTTAGCTACAGAGGAAGCTATCGTCGCTCACCCAGTCCATACTACAGTCGCCGGCGTTCACGTTACGACCGTTCTAGATCGCGCTCTTATTCACCGCGTAAGTACAACCTCCTCTTTAATTTACGTTATAATATAAGCTGTCTACATGGATATGTGTCTCATCCCTGTATCACGTTAAAACACACGGTGTAAACATATCTATATAACTGCAAATTATCTTAGCAAAATCTTCATATTTTCATAATTTATTGCACAACCGTGTTTATTGCAATGTTGTTTCTCTTCACTTTGTTTATTTTACTGAACACTACACAAAAATATTACATGAAGAAAAACTTCGCATGTTTTATGATATTTATTTTTCTAGAGAAAGACAATTTCTCATCTCGCTCTGTTATGGCCTGGCATTTTGCTGTGTCATATTTATGTTAATTAACTGCTTTCTTGAAGATAGTTGAAAATTATGAAATCTAAAAGAAATTAATATATTGCATTAAATATTTATATATGCAAAAAAATTCTATTTTATATCAATGCTGTTTATTATACGAATGACAAATCAAGAAAATGATTTTGCACGTATTTTATTACATTGAACAGAGTCGATCAGCAATTTATGTAATATTTCTTCTGGATTCATATTTTCGTAGACCGCTTATATTTCTAATTGAAACGGTAATATCAGTTGGATTGCAAAGTAAGTATTTAAGTTAGCAAGAAAACAGCAGAAGAAGGCATCAGAGAAATGCGCTTGATAAATCGTACGGTAGTAGCTAAGCAGCAATCCGTAACTTCGTAAAACAATCATAGTATTTTTGTTGCTTAATGAATTTCAGGTCGATATTAAATCAGATGAAGTGATGCGAGGCCAGGTCCTTTCGGAGATGACTTTGACCCAAATATTTCTTCAACGGGTCAAAATTATGAAATTAACAAAATCGCATTATATTGCTATTCTTACCTTACCCAGTTCTGCATCGTATGCGATACAATCTCACAAGCGTTTAAATTACAATACCATAATAATATCGTTAAGACTATGGATTAAAAAAAGTATAAAATGTAGCAGAATTTAGCATACTGCACGAAAACCAGTAAGGTTAGAATAGATGTAAAACCTTATTTTCATAAGTTTATAAATTTATATTGCTTCCTTTTATGAAGATAAGGTTTCAATTGTGTAAAAATACAAGGCTATAATGTGAAAGCTGGAATATAATTGAGCGCTCGAAATTTGCGGTCAGTCCTTAGTTTACAGTTGTATTCCAGCCGTTGGATAGAATCTTTTAATGAAAATGTGGAAAGTCTCTTAAAAAAAAAGAATAAAATAAACCTAAATAAAGAAAGCAAGAAAACGAAAACACAAAAAAGAAAAATAATAACAAGCTTCGAATAAAAGTAAGTTCTCTAACCTATTTGTTTGTTTATAAGGTTTTGAATCAAGAGGTATTGGATGATAGAGGGAAGTTTGAAGTTTCACTCTGAAAAAATGAGTTTTGAAAAGTCAAGACAAGATATTTGAAGAACACGTTTATCTTGCTCACATTGTCAAGAGTCTGAAGGTTTTGTCGGTTGCTTGTGACAAAGAATATGATCTGCAATTCATTTCCGGCTGAGAAGCCTCAAGCCTAGAAGAAAACTTCAAGTAATGCAAGCCCGAAGACAGAGTCGAGTTGATCGTCAAACCCCCGACCGGGACACAGGTTATTTGGTTGGGGGTGAAAACAGGGCCGAAAGTGTTTCCGAAAATATTGAAGAAGTTCATCGAAAATCTTTCGTAGAATAGGGACGAGCGTAAGGTGCTCCCAGACCTTTATACCGATCATATTCTTTATCAGTTGGTTTGGTTGCCACACGCCATTTTATTCGCTCTAGAGAACTGCATATATATAATATGCTTATATGCAAAAACCTCTATATATGCATGCGTGAAAATAAAGATAAAAGTTCGCATACTTCCTTTACCACATCCTCTCCCTCCACCATCCTGAGACCTCGGTTTCCTTCAAGAAGACCTCATATTATTATGAATTTTACCTATCTACTGATAATTAATAGAACTTCATCGTAGCAATTTATTAATAAATGTTGTTTCTGCCATGCTCAACTTTGGTCCCTCTCTTTTTTGTGGTTTTTTTACATTGCGAAGTTTGGTGCGTAATACGCGAGTCGCTTTTTACTTTAGGGTAAAAGTAATGTTGCGGATCGATTGATCCTTTCCAATACCCTGCGAGTTATTATTGCCTTTGCAAACTTTTAGGTCTTAAATTTGTAGTATGTAATAGAAGTATATTTGTCGGGACTTTATCTGAAATTTAATGCTAATAAAATCAGCTTCCAGCAAAGAATTCGCCTTTTGGATTTTCTAATTCCCATGGATCGCTACTTATTTCTACAGAACTTTGTATCTACAGCGATAGTTGCATTCGTTGGTTATCGTAATTCAGTTCTTCACATTCTGAAACTAAAAACTGTCGATCGCGATCGTTCAACGAGTCCATCGTGGCTGACAGGTATCTCTAGAGATTGATTCAAGTAAACGTAAGTGATTATCACGATTGGAAAAATATCCAACAATTGAGACGCAAGCTATCAATATTTACACTTTAGTAAATATCAAATTAAATTTATGTGAAATTTTACAATTATTATTTCTCCAAGTTTATCTAAATTTTAACTCTCATGTCTAGCACGTATCTAGTATATCTTATGTTTATGAACCCAATAAACTTGTGCCTATAAATGTGGTTTTATGACAAATTATGATAAATACATTCTTGATCTACATGGAGGATTCTTGATCTTATGGATCAAAAGTATTTTATAGATATAGAACTGTCTGGAATTCATATTTTTACTAATTGATTCACAGTTTAAAAATTGTGATCAAGTTTAATAAATCACGAACCAATGAAACATAAAATCTAAATAATATGTATAATAATAGACTAGGAAAGTTATCAATCTTTGCAGTTAATAATATATTTTTTTGTCTCCTACAAATCGTACTTAAATAAAAAATGTATATATATTTACATGTATATTTAAATAGCGATAAAAGATAAATGTGGGAGTAACTATTATTTCCGGAAAAACAGTAAAAAATACCGCAATCTAATTTCTACATCACGTTTTCCTATTGAGTAATTGAAATATTCATGTGAAAATAGTTCTTTTTAGTTGAACTTATACAGTTCACCTTTTCTCTTTATCTTCCCAACATGAAAAATAGGAAAGATAAACCATGCAAAAAATTCTGTTAAAAAGAAGGTATCGATCATATAACTTTTTCTCTAAAAACGGAAACACGAAAAGTGAAAATTGAGGGGCCACTCTACTGCACAATTCTACTTAGGTCCTTTTTCGGGCAATTAGCTTTTTCATGTAATATTGATTAGATTGATTGAGAGAAGATTTATAACATGTAACTTCTCTTAAAGACATTACATAAATTCATTTAATATTGTATCCATTTATGTATAATAAAAAAATAGCAAGTTATTTTAATTTTTATTAATATCAAGATTTTGTAATTAGGCCTTTATTTCGCCCATCCACTTAATTAAATTAATGTCAATTGAACCGAGGGTAAGGTTACTCTACATTGGTAGAAACAGGCGTAAATTAATCGAAGTTTGTTGGCAAGTATTATACATTTCTATTTTCAAATTCGTATTTGAGAGATAAATATCGAGAGTGAATTATCGAGATCGAAAGTCGAACATCGAACATCGATCGATCTATCGTTTGCGGGCACGAAGCACATGCGGTCATGCGTTTTGATTTCTAAACATAAACACAAAGCCACGCAAAGCGCAACTTCATTGGCAGAGCGGATTTACGATTTCGCGCGAATAGGGTAGGACGAATTTAGACGAATTCTCAGAGATGCGAAGAGCGAAGAAGAAAGGCAAATTGCAGCAACCTTCCTCGTCCATCGCCGACCACGCGGAATGGCCGATGGATGAGAATGTAGAGGAAGGCAAGGACTTCGGCACCCTCATAAACGCGCCGCTCTCGAAAGGTGGGCATTTCGTCTTCAAGTCAGAGAAAGCCTGGACCGTCGACTCGTCGCAATATTCAGAATTCTTTACTTTGAACCTGAAAGCGCTGTCGGCCGCGATCGATTGCGTTCCGTTCAACGAGTATGTTGGTGTGGCTGACAAGTACTTTGTAGTAAGTACTCAAGAGATATTTGACATGCAAAAGATACTCGTGAAGTTTATTTCTTATTGCTGCACTGAACTGCAAAAGTTTTCGCTTCTACTTTTACGTTTGATATTTCCTTTTGAGAGACGCGGTTGACACAAGTTTCATTTTATCTTTGTTATTCATTGAATACTAAGAAGGAAGACGTTTGTATCGACCTGAGACTGCTTGTTAAGAGATCTAGGCTGCGTTTCACTTAACTCTTGAAATGCTCGCGAGCATCGTTTGTCGTTTAATATTTGATAAACAACAAAGATAAAATGATTCCACGAGCGTTATGGGCGTTAAGTGGAATGCACCTATAATCAACATGTTTTATCCTTGTTATTCATTGAGTATTAAGAATGACGTTTGTGTCGACTATGTTTCTTAAAAGGAAAACAGCTATAGATGTCTATTTCATTCTAAGTGCAAAAATTATACACTACAAAAAATTTAACTGTAAAAGGAAACAAGCGAACGTAGAGTGTGTAAAGTTTGACTTAAATTATGATAATATATCTCAATCAAAGGAATGATTAATTTGATAATTGTATTAATTTTAGAGTGATCAATTGACGAGTATCTTTAATAATGCTGAGAGATGCAAAGCAGCTTATAATGTGATTTTAAATGATCTAAATGCATCGAGTTTATCGGATACCAAAGTTAAGACAAAGGAGGACACGAGCACCGATCAATCGAAAACTGTGGATTTGGTGACGAATGTAAAACCAGAAGACAGTATTGATAACTTAGAGGAAGATCTAGATTTTTTATTATCCCTAAAGGAACCTGTCCAAAGCACTGTAATAGGAATCCCACAGTCTACGATAGGAATCCCATTATCTACGTCTCATAATACTGGTAAGATCTTAACATTAAAATAGTATTTTATCATTTCATTTAATATTTTCGGGATTTTTCGTTTTGAAAACTATGAGGTCAAATTTCCATCTCAGAAAAAAACAATTGTAAACGTGCAATTTGTAATCAGATTAATTTTCTGCAATCTAATGAATATAAGGAATTTATGTCATAGATATTCATTGACGATTTGTTGCAGATTCCAAAACAAAATCGAAGAGTGTTCCAAATAAGCCTATTGATTTAGAAAAATGGTTAGATACTGTTTTAGATGATTAATTCTTTTTTTTGTATACTGTTGCAATACGTTAGTAAATATAAATAAAAATTTAAGTCTGAAAGCAAAGGAAAAGAAAGATCATGTAAAATTGTTAAAAGTTCATTTATTTAAAATATGTAGGATGAATTATGCTTTTATAAAATTATATGAATCTTTATTTTTACTGGTAAAAAATATACATTATATATACATACACAATAATGTATAAATATATGTAAATATCAAATGCAATTTGAAAAGTTCTTATAATTATCTCACAGCTTCTTGAAATGCAGTGTATTAGTTTATCAACTTTTTTGTAAGAAATACATGCATGTAGTCATATACCACAAGCATAATGGCACCACCTGGACCTAGTCTTAACACCTTTGGCACCAAGCCTTTGTACAAGGCTCTAAATCTAGAATGACAGTTACCTGAATGAGTGATCTCGAGCCCGAGTACAATAATATCGGTAAGTAAAAAATATATATGAATACCCTTCTCTCTTGTAAATAATGTGCATGGTGTTCAGCGTTCCTTTGTATTGCGTACCATCTTGTGAACCCTGAATGCGACTTTTAGCAACATCAAATGGTATGTTTAAACAAGATGCAACAGTACCTGACACAAATCCTATAGCAATCTGAAAAATTTTCAGTAAATTTTATTATAAACTGAAAATCGCATATAACTTTGTATACTTGTTTTATCATACAAAGCTGAACAATTACTTTACTTAAAAATTCCAACCAAGGTTCTTTTCTGACTGATATATATCCTTTAACAGAATGATAAAAACCAAAATAAAATGAATTAAAGACCGCGTTTCTCATTATAGTGGCTGAAAGCCCTTTGTTTAGACCATTCAATCCAAAACCATATTTAGAAATTATTTCTTTCGTCACTGCGAATGTCGATGGGCTTTCTTTGATATGCTTTCGATTAGATTGTAATTTTACTTTGACCATTTCAAAAGGATTAACTAATATAGCCTCAGTAACACCAGCGAAGAAACCAGCACATGAGAATGTCTGCAATGATACAACTATTTTTTTATTTTGTAAATAGTCAGCAGATCGTTATAATAATCGTATTAAAGTAATTACCAACGGAGTGGGTGCACTAGCGCCAAATAAGAAAAACTGTTTATATTGTTCAAATGTAAAAAACTAAAAGAAAGGATAAAGTTTTTATAAATAAAAATAAAAATAATTTTTGTAAATATAAATGTAAGTAAATGTGCAGATTTTTCTTTGTACTTTTATGTATTAAGCGATATGTATTTACTTTAACTGCACGTTTGGGAGTTTCTACAAGTATCGGAGGTAAAATTCCCTTCCAAAATGCTGGTAGCCCTTCAGTCTTATACATTTTAGTCATGCAGTCACGAATTCCTATAATAATGTTAATATAGTTAATGTGTAATGATACTATAAATGTATCTTGATACACAAAATACCTGTATAATATAATGGATCTGATTTTGTTGTCTTCACTTGGAGCTGAAAACGTGTTTTAACGAGATCCATTGGGTGCATTATACAAACTTCTATAAAACCTGCTGATCCTCCAGCACCAATCTGGATGACAGCCTCTTTGAGAAGATTATCTGTGGTGTTGCGCGTCATTTTTGCACTCTTTGTGTGTTTAAACAGATTATTTGATTAATATAAAAAATTGAAAGAGCAATCTAAGTACTTATATTTTTTTTGCATTAATGTAATATATATTGTGCACTTTGTATTATTTTTGCTTCTTACAAGTTGCATCTGGAAATAAATAATTAAATTTCTTTCACCGTTAAATTGTTAAATTGTGAAACTATAAAAAAATATGTATTGTACTATAAGAAATGGTGAATCTAAAATGACCTATAAGTTTTTAAGCTTATTATTACCAGCTTAGTTTAACGGATTAATGCCCAATTTCTTCACTTCCAGATAAGTTGCGGATAACCTTATCCAGGAAATATCTCCATTGTATTCTGAGAGATATCTTTTGGATAAAGTTATCTAGAGGTAAAGAAATTGGGTATAAGTTAGAGTGATATATATGTATTATCTTAGTTAGTACAGACATTAGAAAAATGTTAATGTACGTATCAATACTTGCACTTTTGCTATTTAAATTAAAACTTTGTTTTCACAATCAACACGTTATTATATCTTGATAAAAGTTCCTGTCAGATTAATCCATACTGCGTATAAGAGATCTGGAAAACACCACGACCTAAAAATATGTTTGTTGAGTTGAGGTCTATTTTTAGATCTCAGAAAAGAATTCTAACCTTCAATTCTCAGTGATTAACACTTATTCGCATAAGATTTATACAAATTTTTATTTACAAGTATATCTACAACTGATTTACATTGAAGTGTATACAGTATTAAATCTTTTTGCTTCATATAATTAATATATATGTAAAATATTGTATTTGTCTAGCTTGCAGTATATTGTTAAATTCATATAAATTAAATAATTTCTATAATTATATATTTACGTTACAATTACATAAAATAAAAATTGAATATCAGCAAAACCGTTTAATAACTATATCTAATTTTTCTAGATAATATGTAAAATTTATTATATAAAAATATATTAATTTATATATGTATGTATATATTATACGTATACATATATGTATGCACAACACATACACATATAAATTTTATATACTGTATATGTACATTATATTAGTATTTGGCAATAGGTGGAAGAAGATTTAAAGAATGATTGCACATATAGATGAAAAATTAAGAAACCAAAAGCAATAAAATTATAATTAAAGCTTCGTTTTTTTTTTAATTATAAATGTTTAAATGTTTTTTTTTTTCACGTAAGAAACATCTAAAGTACGTAAATATCAAGAAATTTCAAGGAATTATAATAAAGCCTCCATTTTGTTATTCTTAATTTTCCAATTTTGAATATTGAAATATTCACATGAAAATACTCAATCACGTGAATATTAAAACATTTATAACTAAAAAACAAAGCATCCATCGCAATTTTGTTATTTTTGATTTCCGTTTTAACATCAATTTGGGAATCACTCCTTCGATTTTTTCTTACTGAACACCCTGTATACACACACACATTATATATATTACAATATTTTATGTATATATATATATCAATTATTATAAACATATGTATACAGGTTTTTTCATTTCGATATATATTATCTCTTTCATAAATATTTCGACGACATATCTTATCTATGCACATATACGAAATATATGCAGACCTTTCTAGAGTAAGAACACATATGTACACGAAACAACAATTCTACCTGACAAATTTAAGCCAATAAATCTGTTGTTATTTCAAGGCTATCTTAATTAATTAATAAGTCTTAAAATGTTGATACAGCTCTATGATTGGTTTATGACATCTTAAGACTTTCGACGATATTAAATA